TTATTGTAGTTATATTTAACTGGGTGGAAATAATGTGTGAAAGTTGTAGAAAATTAAAGATAAGCTGTATTCCTCTATAACGAGAGATGTTGGCATATCAGGTAACTTTAGTATTGCAAACGAACATGCATGAAAATAAAGATAAATTCTGTTATGAACAGTTTGTAGAAATTTTTGTAGATAATTTGTAGAAACATTGAAATTCTGTATTTTCATATTAATTTTTCAAATGATATGCAGTTTTATTGTAGAATAAATGTAGAAAACAAGCCATTGTGAGTCTTATTTGACTCATTCCTCACATTCAACCTATTCTACAAATTCACGCTTCTTTAAATACAATACAACCATACTTTCTTGAATTTAAAGGTATAGCAATATATACAACTTAAAAAACATCTTCTCTTCTGCACAAGTTAGCTCCAAAACGGACGAAGTGGAATAACAAGCTCCCATCAAAACTTTTAACACAAAAACACAAAGCTCAAATTTTATGTTATTGTAGTTATATTTAACTGGGTGGAAATAATGTGTGAAAGTTGTAGAAAATTATAGATAAGTTGTATTCCTCTATAACGGGAGATGTTGACATATCAGGTAACTTTAGTGTTGCAGACGAACATGCATGAAAATAAAGATAAATTCTGTTATGAACAGTTTATAGAAATTTTGTAGATAATTTGTAGAAACATTGAAATTCTGTATTTTCATATTAATTTTTCAAATGATATGCAGTTTTATTGTAGAATAAATGTAGAAAACAAGCCATTGTGAGTCTTATTTGACTCATTCCTCACATTCAACCTATTCTACAAATTCACGCTTCTTTAAATACAATACAACCATACTTTCTTGAATTTAAAGGTATAGCAATATATACAACTTAAAAAACATCTTCTCCTCTGCACAAGTTAGCTCCAAAACGGACGAAGTGGAATAACAAGCTCCCATCAAAACTTTTAACACAAAAACACAAAGCTCAAATTTTATGTTATTGTAGTTATATTTAACTGGGTGGAAATAATGTGTGAAAGTTGTAGAAAATTAAAGATAAGTTGTATTCCTCTATAACGGGAGATGTTGACATATCAGGTAACTTTAGTGTTGCAGACGAACATGCATGAAAATAAAGATAAATTCTGTTATGAACAGTTTATAGAAATTTTGTAGATAATTTGTAGAAACATTGAAATTCTGTATTTTCATATTAATTTTTCAAATGATATGCAGTTTTATTGTAGAATAAATGTAGAAAACAAGCCATTGTGAGTCTTATTTGACTCATTCCTCACATTCAACCTATTCTACAAATTCACGCTTCTTTAAACATAATACAACCATACTTTATTGAATTTAAAGGTATAGCAATATATACAACTTAAAAAACATCTTCTCCTCTGCACAAGTTAGCTCCAAAACGGACGAAGTGGAATAACAAGCTCCCATCAAAACTTTTAACACAAAAACACAAAAGCTCAAAAATAAATAAACAATAGTCTGTAATTTATCTACAATTGCTGCAATATAATGTATGTCATGTCTTCTTCTTCTTCTTCTTCTTCTTCTTCTTCTTCTTCTTCTTCTTCTTCTTCTTCTTCTTCTTCTTCTTCTTCTTCTTCTTCGAGTTTCAATCTGAAATTCAGCCAAAATCAAGTCTAATCTTCACCAAAACCCCTCAAAATTGAGATATAAACTCCAAACCATATTCCCAATTATTTACAACAACACCCATTCCAAACAAATAATGATTCTTGAAAACCCAAATTTGAATTCAAAGCTTCAAAGCTTTTTAATGGCTGTCAATAGTGGAATTGCTGCTCTCTTTTTCTTTCCTCTTATATTACTGAAGGAACCCAAAATCATAACCATCAAATCGACCAGGCTTGTGCTCATCTTCCCCGGGCACAAAAAACATTGGGAGAAGATTGTAGAGGTGCCGACAGTGCCTTGGCTATGGAAGAAATAATGGGATTTTGATACAAAAATCATGGGTGTGGGAGGGAAATGTGGGTGAAGGTGTGGGAATTGGAGAGAGAAACATGGGGGGAGTGGTATTAGAAGGAATATACGGTATTATTAAATTAGGAGTGTAATTAATACCCTTAAAAACCACTAATGGTATATAAATGATAATTAGGTATACTAAATCTAATTATATCAAACCTTAAACATTGAAGGTAATATAGTTTCCTATATGGCATAGGAATATAAAAATTCCCAAGAATAATAAGGCTAATAAGAATCTATTTTCACAAACAACCATTATATTAATTTCAAAGTGTTGCTTACACCAGCATACAAATAACCTGCTTAGTAAGCAACATATGTAATTAGAGTGCATAAAAATTGTCAATAGACATGCAATTATAGACAACTTACTGCAATTGTTTAGACAAAAGAAAGATTATACTGTACAATCAAAACCTCCCAAAAAATCACAAGACCTAATTTTATTTGGGGTGTGTGTTTGTCCCCTTATTGAAATTCATTTGTCATATTTATGGTAGGGGTTTGAGCCAAAATGACTTTTTAGTGACAATGATAAAATTTAGTTACTTTTAAGTGACAAAAAATAGTTGAGTAACTTTAGTGAAATTGAAAGATAGTTGAATGACATCACTGAAATTAACCCGTGAAAGAAGATATGATCCTTATGTTGATTATCTATTCGACTTCCTATTTTTTTTCATTTTAGAATATAGTTTCACTATAAGTGAACCTTGAGTTCTACCTTTTCCAATTATCTCACAAAACTAGAAATATTTCTGATGAAAGTGAATAATAGGAAGGTAACTTATATATGTCTGAGCAGTAGACATTGCACATATTATACAAACTTATATCCAAAATATTATAAGTATAACATAAACACTTCATTTCCATCCAAATACACTTCCAGTCTAAAACACACCAAATTACACATTAGTGAATATCAAGTTTAATCATCAACATATGATCAACTGTATTTTTACAAACCAACATATATATGCACAACATCGCAAACCTGATTATTTGGACATTCACATGAACTTTATTTAGGTTTAGGATACATGTATTACTATTGCTATAAGTAAACTGCATTAAGGTTTTAGCACCTAGTAACATCCATGTAGCTTGATAGCTAATGGAACGATGGAGGTGACACCTTAATGCGGATAAGCCAAGGATGAACTGCCTGTCGATAGCCAAGGAACCAAACCGCGATAGGAACATAGTCCAGATATGTCAATTTGGTTGTAGTAAGGACGACGTTATCAAATGTTGAGGTTGCAGCAACTATCTGCTGCTGCAGAACCCCACTTACTGCCCATGAGAATATCATGGCCAGTATTCATCATATAAAAAAAAGCCTGAACTGATGGCCTAGGATTGTGAACTGGATAAGTATCAAGATCTCCCCTGGAGTAGAAGCTTGTAACCTCTGATGAATTACAGGACATTCTGCTTGTTGTTTCCTTTGGTGAGTTAAAATTGCCTATATGATCAGACTGCAGAACTTCAGAATTCTGTGATCCAGTGGGTTGAGATTTCCTGTTACTAGTCTTGGTTGTACCATCATTGGTACTTCCATTCATCTTCCTTGTGTTCAAGAAGCGGCCACCACCTCCCCTAGGTCGGCGCATGGCATGGAGATGGCGCGAGAGGTGCAAGAATGGCTGACCAATGCAAAAATTAAGCAACCACAGTGAGAACAGGACAGGAAATTTGAGTAAAACCATAGTGCTACAATTTCCCATGGAACTACTCTTTTTCTCTTAAATTTTCATATTAAGCATAATATTTACAAGTTAAAAGAGTCGATGATTGGATATGCATATGTGGATAAATAGTAACTGCAATTGGAGTTAAGCAAAGAAATTTACCTTGCGTGGTTTAAGCAATTTATTCTCCATCTCCTTTGCACGAAACTTTCTACGCCTAAGTATCCCATGATACTGCTTCGCATTGACAAATATCGGGCCTTCATCAGAGGTCAAATTCAGTGGTAGCATAACACGGCCCTTGAAAATTTTGAGAATAGAAACTCTGTTATGAGTATATTACTTTCCGTATCCTTTGATAAAAAGAATTTTAGACAATACTTCCAACGAATAAGACAGGACGGAGTATAGAAAACTTCCAGAAATGTCAGCAAAAGAGATAGTGTAATTACACGTCGCTATTCATAAGAAATGGAACTAGTAACATGAAAATAAGACAAGCAACTTTCTACAATAGGTTAAGCTGTTGTAAGCATTTCATTATACTGAAGGTGAATATAAGTTAAATTCTAGCTAAAATAGGCAGATACTGATGCAACAAATATTCCATTTAGTTTGAAACGAAGAAAATCTATACATCGATCATCTTTCTTTACACAGTAAAGAGGCTTATGAAATGTGGAGCATGTGTGTTAAACTTCTTTTTGGATTAAAGATGGAACCAGTTAAGAATATATTTTGAAGGATACTAAAGAGATAAAGCTTGTTATCTATTTGGAACCAGTTAAAATAAACATTCATTTGACTGCAAAAACATTTGTAATTTTTAGTGCAGGAAAATAATACTGTAACTAGTTTCAGACATGAGAAAGAAGTAATACCGAAACTTGAGAACCATAAGTTGAAAATAACCCAAGGCTCTTCTCTCCATAAGGATACTTTGCATAAATCTGGCGGACAAGCAGAAAAAAACCAATGAGAAGAGCAATCAGGAGTTAATGACAACATGTTAGCTTTCATGCTTTTTTCATAAAATAAAAACACTTTATACTATCAGCATAATCGTTCACAATATGTGGAATTTATAACCTAAAAATAAAGCAGGTTACCCTAATAAATATAAAAAGTTTTTACACTGACATTCTATATAAGTTAATCCAAGAAAATTTACCAGGGGCTCAAAGTGGCCTTGATAGTCCGTATTAGATGATTTCATAGAAACACCATCCACAACATTTGAAAGCTTTTCTGAAGATTTGGAATCGCCTGACTGAGATTCTGCATAATTATTAATAAGAGCTTAATGGAAGTGCCAAACAATATATAACTCGAACTGGTTAAAACAACATAGAAGAATGATCCTTTTAGGGGAAAAAAGGATCAGGAAATGTGAACTTTTTGTAAGATGGTGACCTTAGGACAAAGTGAGAAAGATTGTAGTTGAGATTCTATATATAGATCAATAGAAATTAAATGAAAAGAAGCAGCAACAATACATATTCCCAAAGCTTAGATGTAAATTGCTTATGATCTTCAACGATTCTCTAGGAGCTTATTTTAGTGAGAATGACAACACAATTTGAGCCTTAAGTAGGTCGATAGAATTCCAATCAATCTCTTCTTGATCTTACCTTCAGGTGTTGGATTAAGATAGCCGAAATATATCTTAAATATGGTCTGATAATGTACGCTTTACACCTAACTCACACTATTTTTCTCAAAAGGCCTCACACCATTAAAAGTTTATGTAGCCTCCTTTCTATTTCAGCTATCAGCGTGGCATACCCAACAATCTTTTCCTCGATTAAGTTCCACATGGCTTTTCACCAAGCCCCTTGAACTAAAGTCCACATGACCATCACTTGATGTATTTATTTGGAGGTTCATTGTGTATACACCTCACACATCATTTGAGTATTTGTGGTCATCAATGTCCAAGAGCTAGCTTTCGAGCCCCACACATTACTTCGTCATCTTCATACTTGTCCTGTCAAAATCATTGGGTGTAATACTAACTGTTGGGTTAAGATAATACTCTTTATATGATTATATAATTAAGAGATCTTTACACGTTATCTTCTTTTTCTTTTCATCAATGTGAAACTTTGTCAACAATTTGGCAATTGAAGTTGATGATGTCCATCTCATTGAAGAAGTATTAGGCATGTGCCTAATAAGAG